TTCATCACACTATTTTACTGTGATTGTGAAAGCACAGAACTTTCGTGTGGTAGTTCTGTGGTTTATCACAGGATTGAGCACTGACATACTGTGGTAGCTCCGTGCTTCACACAGGATTGAGCACAGACATGCTGTGTAATTAATTGACGCACTTTTTTCTGTGAAAATCCTGTGCTTTTTTCTGACAGTGAGGGGTGCGGGCGGGCTTGCCTACCGACGCTCACCGTTGCGCCTTATGGCGCCTAGCGAGTACGCAACCCTCCCACACGTGAATGCGGCGCAGCATGAGCAAAACACAAACACAGGGTCGGGGGTCGGGGTCTATGGAAGAACCTGGAAGGCTGCTTGAAAAATCAACGTAGCCTTGAATTTTGAGAGCAAAATACCATATTTTTAGACAGTCCCCAAGACTGCCTCAACCGGAAGGAGAAGGCGTCCCCCCACCTCCCTCGCTTCTCCTTTAGTACAGGGCCGCACGGGAGCAGGGGTTCGGCTATGTCGTGTGTGGCGACCGTCAGCTCCGTCCTGTCGCCCCTCTCCCCTCGGCATCCACTTGCTGGCCAGCTGGCCACGCCTCAGCTAGGAGCCTCGTGTCTCGTTTTTAGACAGTCCCTAACGACTGTCTCTACCAGAGGGTATATAGAGACCTCGCCGTCTCCCATTTCTAGCAGCAGGGCGTTTGGTGTGGCGTTTGTTCTATGGAAGGGGATTGGCGGTGATGAAAAGTTCCCTCAGAGATGAGAGAACAAAAGTAGACTGTAGGCTGGGGCGAGGTGGGACGGTGGGAAGGGTGGGGCACCTCGTTAACTGGCCGACGATAGGATCTGACTGGCTTAGCGGAGAAGTTACACCAAACGTTTGCCCCGTCTCGGGTGGGCGAAGTGGCAACGCTTCGGGTGCGGGGCGGTGCACATCGCTTGGAAGGGAAATATAAAGTTTGACTGCTATTGAAGATGACGCCTGCAGCACTGTGCGTAGGCCAACCCGCCAAGCAGCTGTGTGCAGACAGCGGTAAGATTCCCGTTTTTTACGTCCTTCCCCTTTTCCTATATGGTTGGTTTCACCCCACTGGAAGTTGATAGGACTTGCAGCAACTGTTCCGGTTCGGTTGTCTCTAAAGACAGACAACCCTGAGATTTCGGACTTCTAACAAACGAAAAGACAGACAGAGGCGGACACCAATTGCTATTACATATGATGTGCTCGCTAATAAAGACTTTTCAAAGGAGAAGAGCAGCAAAAGCAGGTGCATGCTGGTCGTGATGCCGGTGCATGGCAGGAATCGGAATTTGTCCCAATATAACTAGTCAGCAGGTAAGTACGCTCGGTGTATTTATTAATTTATACCCTTTCAGAGACATCACCTTTGAACAATAGACAATACATTTTATACATACTGAGATTTCTTCAGTAAGTAGAGCAAGCATCATATAATCCAAGGCGACACTGCTAGGGGGCATACTTGGCAAAAAAGAATACTTTTAAACTGCTCCTAAAATACTAAATAAACAACACAACACAACAATATTCAGTAAATCT